GTTTCTGCTAATCCTATTTCTGTGAGCCTGGCTCACAGAACAGAGCTCCATAAATATTTGTGGAATGACTGAATCCTCGTTAAAGCACCTAACCCGTAGTCTTAACTCCCCTCCTTCCATTGACGCAAGTGAAGATACAGTAAGGATTTTTAACCAAATCAAATATCTGATTCTTTAGTAAGAGATCACAACTTGCACGACACTGACCACTACTGGTTCTAGGGGTGACCTGAATTTAGTGCCATTCTGTAGGAAACAAAACCCGAGGGCTGTGCGCCCCGCTGTTTGTGCGGTTCTGTGCTCCATTCTTCCTGGGCACCGATGAGCACGGTGATGACTGTGTTTACGAAGCCAGGCGCCGGTGACAGTGAGGATGGCTACAGGAAAGAAAGGCCACAGATTGCTCTTCAGCAGCAGTCAGAGGAGACCTAACGCAGAGGCCGAACAGTGGTGCTGGGATTCTATAACCAACAACAAAAGTGACACCTCATTACCGACACTCCTGCAGCCCAAACTACTTTGCCTTTGTGCATTGGAAACCCAGCCCAAGTCCATTTTCCCCACTGGAATTATTTGTGATGATGTGAAGTTTCTTGGAGATGCAACCATCCCAGAACAGGTACACTCAGATGAGAAGACACGGGAGACACAGTTCTAGCAAACAGTTCTACCGCTCAGAGCAAAGCCTATGTCACACAGCCTCTAGGGTCTAGGCACAGTGTGGGGACAGGAGGGCTGGCCGCCCCACTGTATTTCCTCTCGAAAGGAATACACAGCTCTGGAGGTTCAAGCCACCCGGCTGAAGTCCTCATACTGGGTATCACACCAGAGATGCCACCTGCACGTGCCCTGCTACATCACCATGGATCTGACCGAGGAGCCACACCCCCTCGGAGCACGCATGCTGGGGTTGTCAAGGAGACCAGCGCACAGGACAGCTGCACCCAGGGCTGGAAGTCAGACTCAAGTTCTGCCCCATCTTTCAATGGGAGAGAAAGAATCCAGTCCCCTGCTAGGGCCACAAGGACATGATGGGTTTGGATGTCACAAGAGACGAGAACACTCCAAGCCGAAGGCAAGAAGTGATTACCCTGGTTTTAGGCAGTGGCGGGGGAGTGGAGGTGGAGAGGAACTCACCTAGTCCTTCTTTGAAAGACAGTCAGGCTACTTGCTTTGCAAAGGGTTAGGAGGTGGACTGTGTGGGAAGGCAGGCGAGAGGGAGTTTCTTTTCATAGCCTGTTTCCATGGTGTCTCATGGCCCTTGGCAAACCCCAGCTGGGGAGGCTTGGACGGCCAGGAGGCCCCAGGGCCACCCTCCAAGGACTATCCTCCTAGTCCATCTGGGCCCCAAGAGTGACAGAGGCCACAGGCAGGCAGCCACTCTCTCTTGCCTCCCTGGGGGAAGGTGGCCAGAGGCCAGCGATAAAGGGCAGAGCAGGGAGAGAACAACTCCAGGGGCTAGGGCTATGGCTTCCTCCCTTCCACGTCCCCTCCTCCCCCTCCTCCCGCGAGCCCACCCAAGGGGAAAGTTTTCTCTCTGAAGACCCGCAGGGCTGTCTGCACAGGAGACCCTCTCACGAGAAACACATTCTTGCCTGGACAGCCCAGATAACCAGATAAGGGCCTCTTTGATTTCCCATGTGTTTACACAAGCTGTGGCCCCAAGTCTTGGAAAGAATCAACCACTGCCAGGCAAGTCAGGACGCCTCCAGGTGGGGTGAGGGGACAGAGCTGCCAACGCCTCCAGGTGTGGTGAGGGGACCTGGCCACTGACATCTCCAGGTGGGGTGAGGGGACACGGCCGCCTTACCTGCTCCTGGGAATTCATCACTCGAAGCTTCATCTGCTTCAGGTAGGTGGAGGTGAGGGGCATGTTGTAATCGATAATCCCAGAGACCAGTGGAGATGGAGGCTCGTTTTCTGGCAGAAAGAACAAAAGGAAAGCCCTTTCAGTCTGTCAGTCTGTGCTGCAGGCCTGTCACCCACAGGGAGCATTTAACAGAGCCCGTGGAAGAGGAAGCCACCTTGGAGGAGAAGGGACAGGTCAGAGGTTGCAGACTCTGTGGCTCACCCGCATCTGGCCCAGAGATGTGGACTGTGTGGTGTCAAAAATATTTTATTTATTAGATGCCAGTGTTTTAGAGATTTCATATGTTAAAAAACAATGAGGCCAGGCACGGTGGCTCATGCCTGTAATTCTAGCACTTTGGGAGGCCGAGGCAGGAGGATTGCTTGAGCCCCAGGAAGGGCCACAGGCCCCAGGAGTTCAAGACCAGCCTGGGCAACACAGGGAGATCTCATCTCTACAATAATAAAACAAATTAGCCAGATGGGTGGTGTGTGCCTGTAGTCCTAGCGACCTAGGAGGCTGAGGTGGGAGGATCGCTTGAGCCCAGGTGGTCAAGGCTGCAGTCTGCAGCGAGCTGTGATGGCACCACCGCACTCCAGCCTCAGCAGCAGAGTGAGACTCTGTCTCTAAAAAACAAACAAAAAAACCCCAACAAACCCACCCCCTCAACACACACACTCGTATTTATATGAATTTTTGGCTTCTTTGAAGAGCATAAGGTCTGGCCACATGAGGCCCCCACTCCCGAAGGCAAGCAACCACTGCCGCTTCAGCAGCCACTTCTTTTAGGCACGGTATGTGGCTCCCATTTTGCCACAGTCCCCACCACTCCTTATAGTATTGCACAGCTTTGCTCATTTGCAAGTATCAATTATGATACTTGCCAGACCCTTGAAGGCATCTGTGTTTCCAACCATTGTCTAAGTCAGTTCTCTTCCAGGTGAACATATGCCACTCTCACCCCACCCAATCCTGCCACCCCACAGCATCCCCCAAAAACATCCTCAGGTGCCATATGGCTCCCAGGTCTGAGTCAGGCCTTCAGTAGCCCCCAAATTCTGGTTCCTCCTTCATCATATGCAGAGGAACAGTCTCCTCCCATTTATTCCTTTGTTGTCCTGAAGATCAAAGTGATGCATGTTCTTTTTGCAGAGAATTCGCAAAGTGCCGAGAGATGTAAAGAAAAAATTTAAAAACCGTAATTGCACCACGCAGCTTGGCATATGCTTCTGTTTATTTTTTCCCTGTGATTTTTCTTTTTTACACATGATCTCATAACGCATACAGAGAATTCCAGTCTGCTTTTAAAAAGTTTTTTTTTCTTAACATTTTGTCATAGGTATTTTCCCCAACATCAAGAATCTTATTTTGCTTTGTAAGTAGAATTTTTATGGCCATGTAATAGTTTACCATAATTTGCTTAAGTTACTACGTAATGATTGGCTTTTTAGGTTGTTTCCCATTGGGGCTCTAACAGCACTGCAGGGGACATCCTTGTGCATAAATATTGCTCCGTATTTCTGATCTTATTTCTTGCCTTTTTGGAACAGATTACAAGAAATTAAAAGGTAGGGACATAATTTGATAACCATTAAAATCTCTGGCCAAGCTGCTGTAGGAATTGTTTCAATTATTTGTTATCTGGCCTCCTCCTCCTTCTTCCAAGGACTTCAGGCCAGATTCATTTTGCCCCAGGCCTTTAATCAGAAGGTGCCCCTGGTGCCTAGTCCCACTGATGAGTTGGGATTTCCGTGGCATGAGGAAAAGTGGGAGCAACTTCTAGACCAAGCGCCCTCTACCATCACAAGGAGGCCCAGGAGACAGGCTGCAGGGTGACAGGGCGGAGGTCCGGGAGGTCCAGAGGATATCCAGGGGTGACTTATACTACCTGCCCCTCCAGAGCCATAGCCCAAAAGGGTCCCTGCAACCTTGAAAATGCGATACCAAGGGCAAGAAGCCAGACATAAAACGACAACCACTGTATGATTCCACTTACACGAAATATCTAGAATAGGCAAATTCAAAGAGACAGAAAGTAACTCGGGGTTACTGGGGGCTGGAGGCTGAGGGAATGGGACGTTATTGCTTAATGGGTACAGAGTTTCTGTTTGGGGTGATGAAAAGGTTTTGGAAATAGGTAGTGGTGATGATTGCTCAACAGTGTGAATATAATATCTTTAAAACGGAACAATTAAGCCGGGCACAGTGGCTCACGCATGTAATCCCAGCACTTTGGGAGGCAGAGGCAGGAGGACTGTTTGACCCCAGGAGTTCAAGGCCAGCCTGGGCAACACAGTGAGTCCCTCGTCTCTACTAAAAGGTAAAAAAATGTTAGCTGGGTGTGGTGGTGCATGCCTGAAGTCCCAGCTACTTGGGAGGCTGAGGTGGGAGGATCACCTGAGCGCAGGATATTGAGGTACCACTGCATTCCAGCCTGGGTGAGAGAGACCCTGTCTCAAAAAAAAAAAAAAAAAAAAAAATATATATATATATGAAAAGCAAGTTTTTATGCTTTAAGTATTTTACCATAATTTAAAAAGAAAAAAGTCTGCAAACAAGGGGTGAAGCTACCCAAAGAGGACAAGGGAAGTTCCTGCTTGGCAAGGATAGGAACAGCCCTGCAGAAAAGGTGGGGACCCAGAATAGCTGGGGCCTAGAGGATGGAGGTCCGCTTTGACACTGTGTACTTCTGGTGACTTTACAGATTGAATAACATTTTGAATCAAGTTTTACAGAAATGCAGAACTTAGTTTTGCTCTTTAAAGCTACCCTGTCACACACAGAATGTTTCATTCTTTGTTGAGGAAGAAATAGATGTTGGCTGGGTGTGGTGGATCACACCTGTAATCCCAGCACTTAGGCTGAGGCAGGCGGATCACCTGAGGTCAGGAGTTTGAGACCAGTCTGACCAACATGGTAAAACCCCGCTCTATGGCCAGGCACGGTGGCTCACGCCTGTAATCCCAGCACTTTGGGAGGCCAAGGCGGGTGGATCACCTCAGGTCGGGAGTTCGAGACCAGCCTGACCAACATGGAGAAACCCCATCTCTACTAAAACTGCAAATAAAATTAGCCGGGTGTGGCGGCGCATGCCTGTAATCCCAGCTACTCAGAAGGCTGAGTCAGCAGAAGCGCTTGGACCCGGGAGGCGGGGATTGCAGTGAGGCAAGATGGTCCCACCTTACTCCAGCCTAGGCAACAGAGCAAGACTCCATCTCAAAACAAAACAAAACAAAACCCACGCTCTACTAAAACTGCAAAAATTAGCTGGGCATGGTGGCACGTGCCTGTAATCCCAGCTACTTGGGAGGCTGAGGCAGGAGAACCACTTGAACCCGGGAGGTGGAGGTTGCAGTGAGCCAAGATTGCGCCATTGCACTCCAGCCTGGCAACAGAGCGAGACTCTGTCCCAAGGAAAAAAAAAAAGAAAAAGTAAATGTCACTAATGAAATGGCTAAGAAACTGGCCTGACAGGGACCACCCCCTCCTCCTCCCTTTTTTAAGAGAGACTTCCGCTTGGTTGGGTGGCAGGGATCCTCCGCACCGGTCGACGCGGTGGCAAACTCAAATGGGTTTCCACCCCACCATCAACCTAGATTTGACTTTCTTAACCTCAGTGGGGTTTTGAGCCCTAGCCCCATACATTGACCAGGCCGGATGCGATATGTCAGGCAGACAGTCTAGTGATGACATTGAGACAGTATCACTCAGAAGAGCCGTGGGTCCTGTTTTCAAAGGTGGATGTTCGGACTGAGAATTCTGCCATTTCTGTTTCCTCTAAGAGGAGGCTGTCTGGTGAGAAACTGTTAAGCATCACGGTGAATGTGAAGGGTGCCCATCACTCTCGTGGCCCCGGTCGGCCCTTCGTTGGGTGTTGCAGGGATTCTCTAGGTTTGGGAGGCATGGAGGCGGGCAGCTGTGTTCTTTCATTGATGGTCGCCCCTGTCCTGACTGCAGTGTCATGCTGCTCATGAGAAAGTATCTTTAATAAAGCTAGTGACAGGGTAGCTTAGGAAAAATAAAACAGTGGCCAGGACAGTACCCTTGGGAGGCGGGACAAGAGGTCTTTCTTGGCCTGTACCTGCCCCAGCATCTCCAGAGATGAGAAACCACTTCCGGTGCCTGCAGGTGAGCCAAGAGAGCTCAGAAGAGGAAGGCAGGATGCCCTGGTCTTGGGGAAGCTGGAACATCCCAAGCAGACCCCTAAACCTATCGGAGAACACCTAACATTGCTGTAAGGTGAAATGCTGGATTTTGCCGTTCCAGAATGAGAGTTCTGTGAGGACCTCAGCGGGGAGGGGAGGGACATTCTAGGTGAGGAAATGAGCCATGGAGCCACGGGTGGGAGGTCAGAGCTCAACCACACCATGGTGAGGAGAAAGACAGGCAAGCTTTTCAGCAGTGAGGAGCCCCAGGTGTTCTGGACTCAGTAAGTGGGTGCACACTGAGAGGATGGGCTTAGCGGGAAAGAGAGACGGAGCAGGGGCCAGTGGGAACCGCAGAGTCAGATGCTCACCAGAGAGAAAAATGCCAGGATGGGGGACGAGCTCAGGTGGAAACGTGAACAAGGAAGAAGTGGGTTCCTTGGGCTCCGCTGAGACAGGCTGCCCCCCTCTCTGCCCCATGATCACCACGGGGTGCCACACTCGAGCCTCCACAAATGACCTGACGGTGTGGCACTGCTGGACTCTGTTGCCATGGAGAAGAGTGAGCTAGGAGCTAGCAAGGGTCACGGAGCCTAAATCATCCAGCAGGTTGCTGGCAAGAGAAGCACAGGAAGTGCCCAGAGAGATGTTTCAAAATCTCTTTGCCAAGAAAAATGGAAACCAGCCCAGGCACTAGACCTAGTTTTATGCAATCTCGAGAATAATCAATGATGTGGGTGCTTGGGCCAAGCCAAGTTGTCCGCTGGCCTGTGCAGCTGGGCGCCAATGGCACTCATCAACCAATGCAAACTTCAACCGCAGGAGTGACCCTCGTTTCCTCGCGGGAACACCAGGTGGTGATTCTCACAAGCTTTCACCTACAGCACGAAGAACTCTCGGTCCAGAGACAGGTATGAAAGATCTTCCAGGCAGGGGTGGGCACTGAAGGACGTGTGCACGATGGGGGCCTGGCACAGAGAGGCCGTGAGACCAGCCAGCCTCAGGGGGTTCAAATTTGGAAACAGAGATCCCAGGCCTGAGGCCAGTTCAAAAGTCGGCAAAAAAACTCCTTCCTGGGGAAGTAAATCAATGAATGGGCAAGTCTTCACGGAGTGCTGACATGCGTGCATTCGGGGCGGGGAACGTGAGGAAACTGTGTGCAGGGCAGTCCCCGGGCTCAGGAAATAAGGGTGAAGGATGAGCAGGGTGGGACAGATGTGAGGCCATCAGGGTCACTGGAGGAAGAGCTGAGAGGGCCCCGGAGTAGCTCAAGGAAGCTTCATGGAGAGGATCTGAATGGGACTCATGATCTATTGCTCAGCTGACAGCTCCTGAGCACCTGCTTAGGGCTCCATACACACCCTCTGGTTAGAGGCTCCCAGGAACCTTGTGAGGTGGGTGCTCGTAGTAATACCCTGACTTTACAGATGAGGCAACAGCACACAGAGGAGTTATGCAACCTTCCCACAGTCCCACAGCAAATGAGTGTGAGAGCCGGGAGAGGCCAGGCCGGCAAGGAGGAGCCAGGCATGGAGGCCTTGGAAACCATGCAGAGGAGTCTGGGCCTGGTTGCGAAGGGGCGGAGACCCAAGTGGACAACCTGCCTGCTGAGGAAGAGTCGGCATTGCTGTCCATTGGCTACTCCCAGTTTGCAACCATGCAACAATATTTTGTCACATCAAAGAAAACAAAGACATGCCTCCAAAGGTCCCTTTCCCCAAGAGCTGGGCTGGTCTGAAGTCACACCCAGTTTGCATGCTCTGTCCTCAACTCCTCAGGGACTGGTGGAAGAGTAGTGTGGAGTCAGGAGGCCCTGGAATTTCCCGTCCTCAGACTTCCTGATCCTCTGCCACCTCCTTTGTTTATGCTCCTGGCACTGGGGGAGGGCACGGGGCTGTCCAGGCCCCCCCACTCTGCTGGGGAGAGACCGCTGAGCAAAGAAGGCCACTCTACTTCCTTTGTTTCTTTTTAACATGAGGCCAGGAAGTCAGGCATTCTCCCAGTAGCCCTCAAAGAGCCTCCATCCTGTCCCCTGTCCCCACTCCCTCCCACCTTCCTGGGGCAGGAACACTGGGCCTGTCTCTGGGGCTGGTGCAGGCTCTGCTTTCCCAGCAGCTGGAGAGGGAGAAGGGAGGGCTGGCAATGCAGGGGTTCCTGGGAGATAGCAGGATATAGCTGCATCCAGAGGCCAGCATGGTGGGCAGAGATAGGACCTGCAGGCTTTCAGTGGGGGCAGGAGGCGGGGAACCTGGGGACGGTCCAGGAGGCGAGTGCCTCTGGCCACTTAGCAGACAGTGGAGCCTTTCAGACTCTAAACTCTCCACTGGCAGCTTCCAGAAACCAAGCCCTTCCCTTCTAACCCTGTTCAGGGTGTGGACCCAGCGTGCTCGCCTGGCAGGACTGGGGGCCACATCTGACCCCACCTGGGTAGAGGCAGACCTTGTGTCTCTGTGGGGCCACCTGGACGTTGGCAGCCTCGTGTCTGGGCACCACAGGCCACGACACGGGCTGGAGGCAGGAGGCAGGGTGATGCTCCCCAGGCACCCGCTGCATCCCAGGTGCCCGCCACAACAGGCTCACCCTCACCACCCTGAAAGGATGGCATTTCTTCCACTTTGCTGATGAGAAAATGCAGTTTCCTGCCTGCACTTCTATCTCCTGGGAGAGCCTGGATGAATGATTTCACCTCAACGCCTCTCTGTGCCTCAATTTCCTCACCTGTAAGCCAGGACTAACACCTCATAGGATACTCGTAACTGTCATGATCAGGAGCTGCTCAGAGAGGTTCCCTGTCCTGCCGAGGGACACGTAGTGGGGAACAGGGCTGCACATCAGACCTGCCTGACTCCAAGGCCATGCCCTTCCACCCGCCACTTCCCCGGGCTCCTGCTCCCTCAGCGTCTTCTCCTCGCCCTGCAAAGGGAAGCTCCGCTACCTGGGACAGAGGTGGCATTCTGCCTGAGGATGGGGGAGGATGGGTGAGAATGGGCATGGTGCTCATCTTCTGTCTGGCCTGAAGCAAGCCCCAGGAAAGATAGGCTTTAGCAGCGAGCCCACAGCGCTGGTTTATATTCTAGATGGCTCCTGGCCTGTGTGCTCCCTCCCTCCCTGGCCTCTTTCCCCTCCCTGGGGGTGGGGCGTGGTGGTGGCAGCCAGTGAGGAGAGGAAGCAGGCCACTGCTGTGCTCTGCGTTGCCCTCCTGGCCACACAGAAGCCCGCAGATGAGGCGTGCAGCCTGTAGCATGGGGAGACCCAGCAGCCGTCAGTGAGGAGTGCAGGGGGAGCTGAGGAACGCCCTCCACACTGCAGTGGGATGCGTGGCAGGGGAGGGGAGTGGATGGCGCCTCAGACACCCCAGAGCAGCCCACAAACGGAGCCCCTCTTGGCTTCACCTCTGTTCCTCCAGGCAAGCAATTCTGTGTCTGACTCCGCCAGTTGCTATGGAAACAACAAGGACAGGAACGGGAGGGGACAGGCGGATGGGTGGGCAGGAACCAGGCAGCCACCACTAGGACACATACCCCTGGTCCCTGTGGCCTAGACCCCAGCAGGGTGGAGAGAGCGGCAGGGAAAGCCCTCCAGCCCATCTGCAGGTACCAAATGCTGTCTTGGCCCAAGGGTTGCAGCCGCTGCCTGGCCAGGGGCAGGCCACGTGGGTAGCAGCATTCAAGATCACTGGCTCAGGCATGCATCGTGGGAGTGTCCCGCGTTATCACAGGAACCACAATAGCCACAGCTCTGTCTTCCTGTACCAATGCCAAGTACAGGGACTAACTCACATCTTGGCAGCCTTCTGATTAACCCCATTTCACAGATGAGGGAACTGAGGCTCAGAAAGATGAAGTCTCTTGCCCAGGACACACAGTAGCTGAATGGCTGTGTGGCCCTGAAGCCCTGTTCTTAACATGGGAACCAGCATTTATGAGGGATTAACTACATCCATTCCTGCCCCTCGTGCTTTGAAGTTGGCCCATGTGCCTGATGAAACAGCCGTGCCCTGATGGCTCCCAAGGGCATGGGAGCCTCTGGATTTGGTGAGTCAGCTGCTGTCAGAAGCCATTCACGTGTGTCAGGGACAACGAACACGGGCAGAAAGCCCCGCTTGACGCCCATGCTCCTGATTCTTTGTTGTCTGTTCAGGCTTTGCTGTGGATTTTTCCTTCCCCAGATTCAATGGATGCTACTTGAGTGCCGCCTGGATAAACGGCGCACCCTTCATTCGAGTCTATCTCCATCCTCGGGCAAAACACCCACTGACTTCAGCACCTTCCAAAGGCCCAATGCCCAGGAGCTGGCACAATGCACCAGGCAGTCCTGGAAACCCTGATAAATCGCCCACCTGGGCACCATTTCTCAGGGCAGCGTTATAATTGTACCAGCCAAATGTGCTGGGCCGTCTCACAGTGCCAAAGCCACCTGCAAACAGATGGGCCCCCAGATTTACTGGAAGCCTCTGGGATGTTCAGTTTGAGGGGGTGTGGGGGTACTGAAGCGAGGTCCTTGCTAGTCTCACTGGGCAGGACAGAGCTGGAAGGCATGGACGTCGGTCCAAGGGACCAACTTTGGTGGTCATGAGTGCTCTGGGCATTTTATTGTATTTATTTTTTGAGATGGGGTCTTGCTCTGTCATCCAGGCTGGAGTGCAGTGGCATGATCATGGCTCACTGCAGCTTCCACCTCCCGGGCTCTAGCAATCACTCCACCTCAGCCTCCCAAACTGCTGAGATTACAAGCATGAGCCACTGTGCCCAGCCTGCCCTGGACATTTTAAATTCTCACCAGTCGGCCGGATGCCGTGGCTCACACCTGTAATCCCAGCGCTTTGGGAGGCCGAGGCAGGCGGATCACGAGGTCAGGAGATTGAGACTATCCTGGCTAACACAGTGAAACCCTGTCTCTACTACAAATACAAAAAAAAATTAGCTGGGCATGGTGGCGGGCACCTGTAGTCCCAGCTACCTGGGAGGCTGAGGCAGGAGAATGGTGTGAACCTGGGAGGCGGAGCTTGCAGTGAGCCGAGATCGCGCCACTGCACTCCAGCCCGGGTGACAGAGTGAGACTCTGTCTCAAAAAAAAAAAAATTCTCATCAGCCCCCCATGGGTTTACTGGTCAAAGGGCACATGGGTGAGCAGAGGGTGGAAACAAGCACCAGGGAAGACATATCATTAGCAGGTATGTGGGTGGGAGGACGCATGCACATGTCTCAGGGAGTGTACAGGCCAGACCACGGCTCGTGCACGGAGAAGCAGTGGGAGGCATGGATGGAACTTTGCGAACAGGGTAGGCTGGCCATTCCCAGCTGGAATCTGGCTGTGAGGAGAGGGGCTGTCCTGGGCCTCGCGAGGCAGGGGAAACATGTTGTTTGCCTTTTTGTTTCGTATGGTTGGTTTTTAAGTGAAACTTGAGATTTAAAAAAAGTTAAACAAAACAAAACGAGGCTCTTTGGGCAGCACCACGGACCCATACTGGCCTCTGGGGCTAGCAATAACAGCTGCTGGACACTTTTCTGTGTCAGCAAAAGCTGGCATCTTCAGGGACAGTCTACTCTCAGCCGGCCCCCGCCCTAGCCCTCCAGCACGCCACCCCCACTACCTTTGGGTTCCAGGCCATTGGAGTTAAAGTGCATCCTCTTCTGACACTCTGTACAGCTCATCAGGAACCGGGTCACAGCCTCTCTCGGGAGGAAGGCATAGGTCTCTGCGATCTGGAGGAGACAAGAGCTTCACTTGTTATATGGATCCGTGGGGAGGCGACTTGGCCATGAGGTCACCAAGGTCTGAGCTTTGGTGGCAAGCGCTTTGGCTCTTGCAAGGAAAGTCAGGGATTTCAGGAGCAAGGGGCAGGTGTCCTGGATTCTCAGCTGTGGAAATGAGATAGTACTTTTGTGGAAAACCATTTGTTTTAAAAATCTCAATAAAGGAGGTTAAAAATTGAAAAAGCAAAGCCTTTAAACATTATCCAGTCTTTAACCTATATCCTAATAAGTAACATTCCTCAGAACATTTTATTGCTGCTATGAAAAAAATGGGCTTATAAACATTACTCTAGCATAGGGTGAGCAGTTCCCCTCTTAGAGATGGATAGACTGAGACCCACAGATAAATTCACTGCCCTGGACCCATATACAGAACCAAAGGTCCTACAAACAATCTCCTGTGATCACTCACAGGTCAAGAACCTTCTTAGGGAGAGCTGTCAAGGGCTAGTACCAGGCACCAGACTTTTCAAACTAGATAGGCACTGCAGGACCCCCATGTTCCAGGCAACTATGGCTCAGAGAAGTGAGCCGACTCCCCAAGGTCACATGGCACTTTCAAGGTAGTGCCAGACTAAACCCCATGCTCCAGGTGACACCACTCCACAGTTGTCTCCAGAGGGCCTTCCCTAGTTAAGGAGGAGGACAGGGATGCAGGGGGCTGGGGGAGAGACACACAGAAGGGAGGGAACATGAAAAAAGGCCTGGGTGGGGGAGTGGGGAAGAAGTGGCTGTGGGCCCAGGTGTCCAGCCCTTTCCTCTTGCTCTGGGTTTTGGAAAAGCCACTGACCCTGATTTAGCTGTCTGGTGGGGCCAAACAGTCCCTTCAGTCCCAGGTTCCCTGGTTTTCCATGTGCTTCCTGGAGCCTGGGTCCTCCCGCTTCTCTCCACTAAGGGGCAGCATCACCCAAGCGTTCCGCTGTCCTCGCCGCAGCCCACAGCCCGGCTGGGAAAGTTGGCCAAGGGTGAGGGGCTGCTCTGGGCTGCGCTGAGCCCCGCCTTCCCCCAGCAACTGCAGGGGTTTGCTCCTTTGGAAATGCAAGAATGTCCTTCTCCATCTCTGCGATGGCTGGAGGGTAGAGATGGGCTAGGGCAGGGCTGGGGAGTGGAGTTGTGGGGGATGCAGAAGGCCTGGGGTGTCCCAGGCTGTGGCTGGGCCGTTGGAGGACCAGCTCAGGCACGGCTTCCAGCTCAGCCCACTGGCAGAGTCCAGGGGCCACTCTTGCCAGCTGCAAATGCGAAGTTAATTTTGGTGACACAATTGTTATTTCTCAGCTGATTTGATGCTCTGCGGAGCAGGCAGGCTCCTTGATGAGTTATCTCCCTTCCAAATTCCCTGTCTGATTGCCTTCCTCTGGAGGTCAGGGACAAGGGCAAACCCCAGTGTCTCTGACTGGAGCAGCGGATGGGAGGGCAACATCAGGGATGCAGCTGGTCCTTGTCAGGTGTCAAAGCCAAGGGATGGGGCTTTTCTGCCATGCACACAGAAAGCTTCATCCCCAGCCCAGGGCTGCCTGGAAGTCTGGGGGCATGTTGCTCTCAGGCCTGCTGGGTCTGGAGGGAGATGCCTGGCTGAAGGGTGGCAGCTGCAGGAGCAAGCGTGCAGGAGGGAAGGGCGTGTGCTAGGCCGAGCAGAGGGCTGTAACTGACTTGGGCCGACAGATGCCCCTCGGCTACCCTGAGACGTGGCACCCTAGGTCAGGCCTCAGGAGAGCTCAGTAGAGGGCCCGGGAGAAGGGTTGCACAGTCAGCTGGAAGAAGAGGGTCAGGTCCCTACCATGAGGGCAGCCCTACTGAGTTACCCGGAGCTTGCCTGCTCACCTGCCAATGGGCAGAGAAATATTTTTTAAAGGGCTCAGGGGGTCCTCCCGGCCTGGCTGCTCTGCTGAGGGCTGCACACAGGATGGGCAGGGCCCTTCTTGCTGTCTGGCCTGCGGAGAGCATAGGAATGGCTCCCTCTCCAGGGGTAGAGTGGTGGCCACATTTATCCTGGCCTTGGCAGGGACTCCAGCAGTGTGCGAAGGCTGGCTGGCGTGCCACAGGGATGAGGACTGCTGAGCACACACCTTCTGGCCCTGGGTCCCACAGACGGGTGGAAGGGGAGGATAGAAGGCTGACAGGTGAGAAGTCCTTGGAACTGCCTGAGGGCCAGGGAGGGAAGCCCTGCCCTGCAAGGCAAGGTGGGATTGTCTGCAAGCCTGGCTTAGAGCTCCCTGGGGAGTCCAGAAAGCAGAGTCCAGCCCAGCTCTGCACCGCAGTAGGGACCCACATAGAGGATAACAAACCCTCTCCCTGCAACCTTCAGCAGGCATCTTATTCATCTTCCCGGCTTGCCTGGGACCAGAAATGGGACCTCCATTTCTGATTGAATGCATGGATGCCCAAGGCCACAGGACCACAGAATGAGTCGAAACCAGGAGGACAATCCTAGCAGATGCTCTACTTAATAGGATGGTGGTTTTCAGATGGTTTTAGAGCTGCAGACCCTGTTCTAGAAATAGACTCATACACTGAAGCCCAAAACATGAAACAGATAAAGACAGAGCTGCTGTGTCTAAGGAGGGGAAGTTCCAGGACCCTTGTCCCTGCCCAGCTGCCCTCCGCTGCCCTGGGCTGCCTGCTGCCTTGCTCCCCAGGCCTCCTGCCTAGACATTGAGTCCCGTATGTGAATTTGCCTTTTACATTTTTCCTGGTGGTAAAAAACAGGGACTTCACTGGCAGAGAGAGCAGGAGCTATTTGCAGAGTCGCTGACTTGCAAGGCCCCATTTCACTCCCCAACTCAGAGGCCGACAAAGACAGATGAGACCAATTGGGGGGATTTGCACCACTTTACAAGATCCTCCTTCTGCCCTGCGGGTGGATTAGCACGTAGTGGGCCTGGAGCAGCTGCTGACCACATCTGGCCCCAACTCCAAAGTGGCCTGGGCAGTTAGATCCGGACTGTGGAACCCGATCTGACCTACCAGCACCCTGGGAGGGAGAAAGGAAGCAAAAGGGCTTGTTCTGACCCAGATGGGTGCAGAAATCAGAAAAGCAGGAAGACCCCTTGGAAAAAGGACTGGCCCTCTGTGTGAGTTCAGGAAACTCTGTAGGACCAGCTGGAACCTTCCTCAAACCCTGGTGCTGGCGAGATCTCCGAGATCCTCTGGACCTCAGGTCACACGAGAAGCTAAGTGAGACAGGGACTTCCTGCTCAAAATGGGAATCCCTGTATTATCCATTGCACATGGCCATCTAATTCCAGCTCGAATACCGCCAGTTTCAGAAAGCTCATTGGCCGCCCTATCTGATCCATGGCTGGACAGCAGTAGATGCAAAAAAGCTCTTTTCCCCACCAAATAACGTGCCTCCTTTAGTGCACTGAACAAGTCTGCCGCCACCCTGCCAGTCCTGACTTCTATAGTATCCCAGGCCTGGAAAAATCCAGAGGGGCCCTGTGCCCTAGAGACTGTCAGGCAGTCCGAGGATTCAGCTTTGGCAAAACACAGAGATAGATCCAAAAAGTCCTTGGCCAGGCTGTGCCCCTCTACAGCCATCAGCAGGGGTTTCCTTGGGGGCTCTTTCTACAGGCATGGATGGGTGGGGGCCTTGAGTTTGCAAAGTGGGGCTGAAGAGCTAGGTTTGCATCGAGGAAAATGGGAGCAGATGAAGAGGGGCACAATGGCATCCAGGCACCACCTCCTGCCCCCAAAAAAGGAAAAGGGTGGCATGAGAAGGGTGACAGATGGGGAGGAGAAGGGGAAAAGGAGAGAAGGCATGCAGGGGAGGAGGGAGGTGTGCCAGCCCCCTCGGCCTCACACCCACTGCAGGAGGGCCCTGGCCTGCTCAGCTCAGCCTTGGCCCTGCTGCTGAAATTCCAGCTCTGTGCGCAGCCCAGCTGGCTCAGTGCCAGTCATGTGCCAGCTCCAGGCTGGGCAGCGGGAAGTGGGGCACGCGGCAGGCATATGGACGAGAAGCCAGGAAGTGCAGAGCAAAGGGCTGGATGTCCGCTTGGCCCAGGGATGCAAGTGCTGGCAGAACCAGCCCAGCCCTGCTCTCCCCACAGCATGGAGGCCGCAGACCCCTTCCTTCCTAAACCGCCCAAAGAGTGCCTGTAGGTGAGGCTTGATGCTGGGCACCAAAGGGGCCAGGGAAATCACATGATCCAGCTGGCTCCAGCCCATCCGTCTGGACAACAGCAAGTCGTGCAGCTTACTAGCTGACCACAGGAGGGGTGCAGAGAGGCAGGATGTGTGGTGGTCAGGGCACAGGCTCTGGGGTGGGTGGCCCAGCGCTGAATGTCAGCTGACCGACCTCAGGTAGATTATGTGTTTCTCTGAGCCTCAGTTTTCTCATCTTAAAATGGAGGTAACAACAGCACCTGCTTCATACATGCAACCTTCATACATGTATAGGAAGTGCTGGTGTAGAGCACATGCTGACTGCTCGGCACAACGGTGAATTTTTTTTAATTTAACCTTTTTTTTTTTTTTTTTTGAGACAGGGTCTTGCTCTGTCACCCAGGCTGGAGTGCAGTGGTGCAATCACAGCTCACTGCAGCCTCAAGCAATCCTCCTGCCTCAGCTTCCCAAGTAGCTAGGACTATAGGCATATACCACTGGGCCTGGATTTTTTAATGTATTTTTTATTGTTATTTTTGGAAACAGAGTCTCACTCTGTCACCCTGGCTGGAGTGCAGTGGCATGATCTCAGCTCACTACAACCTCTGTTTGCTGGGTTCAAATGATTCTCATGCCTCAGCCTCCTGAGTAGCTGCGATTATAGGCATGCGCCACCACGCCCAGCTAATTTTTGTATTTTTAGTAGAGGTAGGGTTTTGCTATGTTGGCCAGGCTGGTCTCACACTCCTGGCTTCAAGTTATCTGCCTATCTCAGCCTCCCAAAGTGCTGGGATTACAGGCATGAGCCACCGCGCCTAGCCCCAATTTTTTTGTTTGTTTGTTTGTTTTAAGAGAAGGGGTCTTGCTATGTTGCCCAGGTTGGTCTTGAACTTCCAGCCTCAAGCAATCCTCCCATCTCAACCTCCCAAAGTGCTGGGATTATAGGTGTGAACTACTGTGCCCCACCCACAATGGTAAACTTAATGCTGAGAAAATGTGGTCTTCTCAGTGCCAAGGGGCCCATGTCGGCCCCAGCCTGGGTGCCTCTTCCTTCTTCTATGGCCCTCTGGTGGAAATACCCTCAGAACTCCCTTCCCACAAGCCACTTCCCAGAGCACACAGACTGAGAAGCAGGAGGGGAGGGGAGACCATCACCACCTCCTGCTTCCCTGGGCAGATACCTCACCTCTCTGAGGCCCTTGGCACATGGGTCAATCCTTAAAATCCATTTAGGGCAAAAGCCATTTTCTGAGGACAAAGACTAACAGGATGGTTGCATTAAAAACAAAAACAAAAACAAACAAACAAAAAAGACCATAAGGGGAAATTATAGACTTATACAGCCACCTCCATGTAGTCCAAAGCTATTTATACAAAGAACTTGGGGTGGGGAGTTTCACATCTGCCTTGGGTGGGGAAGCCCAGACACAGAAGGGCACATTTCTAGAAGCTCCAGAGAAAGTCAGCATGGAGGACACCAGCTGATTGCAACTCAGCTGCCATCTGACCTTGGACAGGTGACCCAAATCTCCAGGTCTCAGTTTCCTTAACTGTGAAATGTGTCCTCAGTGCCTTGGTCACAGGACTGCCACAAGGCTTGAATGGGCACGAAGGACTTGGCTTTACTGGCCTCCCTGGGCACTGGACAAATGGTTCAGAGCTGTGCATGAGCCGTGGATAGGCTCACATGTGGGTCAGCAGGGGATGGATCAGAACACAGGCAGGCCCCTCTGCAGGGTGAGGAGGGGCCTCTGGTTTGACCAGTCCCATCTATTTCCACCTCTCCCGCATTTGTGACGCTCCCTGCCCCTAGGTTGCCTTCTCTGTCCTTATGCCTCCCCAAAGCATAGAATGCCAGCACAGGTGCCACCTTCTCCACACAGCCCCCCAGGCTCATCTGCATCTGGCAGTGCCTTTGCTAAATGCCCCTGAGCCTGGGTTCTTTCTCTCTCAAAGCGAGCCTTGGAGACACTTCTGCTTCTCATGTATCTTGTTTTTGCTCTCAGCCTCCCCACCCCAAATCCAATTGTGATCTCCTGGAGGGTGGGGAGCAGGTCCTTCGACTTCCCCTGGGAAACTCCCAGTCCTGACTTCACAGGATGAGCTCACACATAGGAAGAGCTCAGGACAGGCCTGGCATGCGGTAAATGCCATGCCATGGAGGCATTTGTTCCTCTGTTCATTATCTGCCCCCAGCACCCCAGCCCCAGAACAGGCTGCAGGGGGCTGGGGGGGCGGTGTCAGGTAGGAGCAAGTGAAGCAGAAATGGGGAAGAGGAGGGCACCTCCTGCCCTCATCCCTCTCCTTCCCTCCCTCTCACCCCCTTCAACCTGCTTTTCCTTTGTGCTCAGACCACAGATCCCCTCCCTTCGCCCTGTGAGCCATCTCTGGCTGCCGTGCCCTTGCCCTGTGCCCCCCTAGATCCCGAAAGGCCGTTTCATCACGCCTCAGCTCCCTGCCCCGCCCCCCCAGCCCAACATGTGCAGAGCCCATGGCCTCCTGCCAAGGCCTGGGGCTGCCAGTGGAGGCAAAGAGACAGAAATCTCACCGCTCGGTAGGTTTTCTTCTGCCCAGCGTGCTTGGGGGCTTTGCCTGGCTCTGCTGAGCTCTCCACATGCATCGAGTAGATGATGTCAAAGAAATCTTCCACCACAGCGACCCGCTTCAGAGAGATGCCCTCAGGCTCCGACAGGCCATCTGCCCCCTGCGACAGGGTGGACAAGCTGTGTTAGTGTCAGGGATGATGGCGGGGTGAGAACTGGGCCCTGAGGCCGGGGCAATGGGTCAGGACTCAGGACGGGCAATGCCTCTGACAGTGGGTCTTGGGGTGGGGAGGGGAGGGAGCCTGCCGAGGGGGCTCCCTGGAGGGGGGACGCCAGAGTCAGGGTGGCTGCAGCTATGAAATCTACCAGCGACAATGGGCAGAGAACGGCGACAACGAAAACACAAATTAAAAAACCAAGAGGCTCCATGTTCACAATTTCAGACAGATTGTGCCAGACTCGGGCGGGGAGCTCTTGAATCACACGCTGTGCCAAGACCATCCTGGAAGTCTCTGGGGAGGGGGGAGTGCTAAATAGATGCGGCCCCATCAGAAGCTCGCCAATTAGCAGTAACCTTTCACTGCGGGCCTGGGCTGGGGTCCCGGGGGAACCGCTCCGATCACCTGGGTGACTCCTGCCTCCGCCCTGGCCTTTCTGAAAAGCTTTTCGCGGCTGCCTGCCCTCCCCACTCCAGCAGCTGAGCGCCAGCAACTGCACCCGGGCTCTTTGTGTGTGGAGATGTACAGAATAACAGGCACGAGGCCACGAGGAGGTGGCAGGGCCATGTGAACGGGGTGGCCATGGGCCCCGAGCCTCTTATCAGGCTGGCATGAGTGGTGTCAGCTGGCCCGACAAGGTGCACCAGGAGCAAGACGGGTCCTTCAATAGCAAACAGCTGCGGGGCTGACGCCTGTCCTCCCCTCCAGCAGGAAAGGGGCTGCAGGGAAACCACAGGGCAGGAGGCTGGGGGCGAGGCCAGGGCCCGGAAGGGAACAGACTGCTGGGGAACTGCTCCGCGCAGGCAGTCCCCGCAAGCGAGGTACGCAGACCCAGGGACACTAGACTGTCAGCCGCCAGCTCCTTAAGGGGAGTCTTTGGGGATGTCAGGGGGCTTTGAAGATCAAGAACAAGCCGCATGGAGGGAATCTGGGGAGAAAGGAAGCAGGCTTTTCTCCAAAAGTGCCAAAGACACATCTCCAAGAGAATTCTTCCCCAAAGGACCCCAACTCAAGGATGTGAGCAACAAGAGGAAGTGGGCTTCGCCTACTCCTCAGCTGTCTCTCCAGCACTTAAATCAGTTCCTGACACATAGTAGGTAGTCAGTAAATAATGACTGGATGACTGAGTGGTTCTAAGTGGCAGCTGGGCAGGGTCACTTGGACACACTCTGCCCTGGTTTGAATACGGCCCCATCATGGAAGTGGCCCTGTGACCCCAAGCACTTACTGTGCTTCGAGCCTCAGTCCCTTTATCTGTAAAATGGGGATAACAGAAGCCCCTTTCCCATGAGCTACTGCGGGGAAGAACTGAGATGTGCATGCAGCACTTAGCACTGAGCCTGGCGTACAGGGATTGCTAGATAAATATTGTTATTAAGAAGTGCTTTGCAGTTCGCCATGTTTCCCCCAGGTATGAGAGAGCTGAACACCGGGGCAACACTGGGAGGTTGTTAGGGTCAGGACCTGCCTGAGGTGCGGTGGCTGGTGGGTGGCAGAGATGGCTTCAGACCTCGGACTTTGTAGTCCAAGGAGAATACAGGCCACACTGGCAGGGGACGCTCGCTCACAACAGGTTCTGGCAAAGATAGGTCTTGGTTTCACCCAGTAGCTTTCCCGACACACCACGATGGGCGAACAGCAGTGTTTCTTCACCAGCAGCCCATCCAAGAGCAGAAAGCAGATGGGGGGCAAAGGGCATCTGGGATGTAGGGTCCCGAGCCCCACAGCTAGTGGTCAGTGTCCCTAAGTGGTGATGCTGGGAGGTGACCTCACTGGCCCCAACCAGGCCCTCTTGCCAATGGCTTCCTTCCTGGTCAGAACCCATTTCAATGGGACGTCTCAGATAGTGCATATCTCTCTTTGCGTGTACAGGAGAAGCCACTTGCTGGTCCGGCTTCCTCGCTGTGAGATTGTGGGCAAACCCTTCAACCTCCCCAAGCTTCACTTATGAGATGAGCTGTGAAGTTCCATGACTTCTCTCTTCTTAACCTCTCTCGGGAATCAATTTTACCTCTTTTGGGGGATATCCCACCCCCTCTGACATCTCAGGCCATCTGTACGGGCTGAACAACGACTAACTTGCTCACTATTGACCCATAAATGCCCAGCATTACGGGGCCCTTCAAATACTGCCATGACAGGTTGAGATGGGACAAATATTATGATAGGTCAGTTAGACTTTTAAAAAAATTTTACTCAGCAAAGATCTGGATTTGGGATGTACAGTTACAAGACACTTCTAACCAGAGGTTCACATAGGTAAAAATAAATAAAATGAACCTTAAGAATGAATATAGCTGGGTTTCTATTTGTTGATCTGGGCAGTAGTTATAGAAGTGTGTTCAACTTATTAAGTCATTAAATCTTAACATTTGGCCGGGCACAGTGGCTCACACCTGTAATCCCAACACTTTGGGAGGTCCAGGCAGCTGGATCACCTGAGGTCGGGAGTTTGAGACCAGCCTGACCAACATGGAGAAACCCCGTCTCTACTAAAACTACAAAATTAACCGGGCGTGGTGGCACATTCCTGTAATCCCAGCTACTCAGGAGGCTGAGGCAGGAGAATCGCTTGAACCCAGGAGGCAGACGTTGCGGTGAGCTGAGATTGCGCCATTGTACTCTAGCCTGGGCAATAAGAGCGAAACTCCGTCTCAAAAAAACCAAAAACCTTAACATTTACAATCTGTGTATTTCTGTATATGTGATAAACTTTAATTTAAAAAACAGTTTTTAAAAAGAATATCATGGGATAGTTCCACTGAATTTTTAAATTCAGGTAAAATACATATACAGAATGCACCATCTTTACCATTTTTAAGTATACAGTGAAGTCCGCCACATTTGGATCAGGATCACCTGAATCCAGAGGCATAGCTCTGGAGGCTTAGCTGCTTAAAGGCCAGTAGGCCTCCCTGTTCAAAATTGTTTCAGACCAGAACACAGATATTTCTGGAAAAGGAAGGAGATAAAATTTTGTGGGAAGGAATGGAGAAAGAAGGCAATCTGATGAGGAGACAATATTTTATGTAGATGAGATAGAAATTTCCCCCTAACCAGCTTGGGGGCCTTGGGTGGGTCACTTTATTTCTATACCTCTTTTTTTTTTTTTTTTTTTTTTTGAAACAGAGTCTCGCTCTGTCAAATAGGCTGGAGTGCAGTGGTGCAATCTCTGCTCACTGCAACCTCTGCCTCCTCGGTTCAAGCGATTCCCCTGCCTCGACCTCCCAAGTAGCTGGGATTAAAGGTGCCCACCACCATGTCTGGCTAATTTTTGTATTTTTAGTAGAGACGGGGTTTCGTCATGTTGGCCAGGCTGGTCTGCAACTCCTGACCTCAGGTGATCCGTCCACCTCAGCCTCCCAAAGTGCTGGGATTACAGGTGTGAGCCACTGTGACCGGCCTATTTCTATACCTCTTGAAAGTCAGTTTCTGCACCTGTAAAATGGGCCTAAAAAGTACTAGTTGGATATTCAAGGATCAAGCATGTATGTCAGGCATCCAGCACATACAGACTTGGTTAATGTTCATCTCTTTCCTTGGACCTCCCAAGTCTGGACATTTTGTGTTTAGGAATCTCTTCTTATCTCCGGTCCCTCTAACGCATCCAGAGGGGACCCATGACAAAATGGGTCCCCCTCAGTAACACCCACCATCAGAAGAGATGCACAGTCTTATTTAATTCCTAAATAATATGCTAAGGCTCCCACAAACTTGGAATAAGCTTTCCAAAAGTCAAAGTGTAATTGACCAATCCAGATAAAAAAGCAAAACATACTGTCCCATATGGCCCCTGTCTCTATCCCAGCTTCCCACCTGCATTCTTAGGCCAACTCGTAAACAACAGCTTTGCACCTGGTCTGATGTGACTATAAAATTAATCCCAGCAAAATTCTTCAGGGAAGCAGTTTTCAGTACTTCCTTCTTTAAAAATTGATCACTTTCTCTCTTGATGTTCAAATTTGGGTCCTGTAATCCAACTATCTCTACAGCAAAGATTTACATAGGAAAGGAGAGGGCCTGGAGCGACCAGAACTCAAACCACACAAGGGCTGCAGAGCCACACCTTGAACTGTCCTCTGGTGAGCTGGAGCCACCTGGATTCCATGTGTGCTACACCCTAGGGGAAGAACGCCAGGATGTCTGCGTGGCCTTCAAGGAGAACCCTGAGAAGACAGCAACAAAGGGATCCGACAGTAGTCACGTGCCACAGACATCTCTGCTATCCCTCGCATCCATGGAGGTAATAACCTTCATGCTAAAGGCTGCAGGAGAGGCAGGCCTGGCCTGGCTAAGGATCCAGACAGTGCTGCAAGGGAAGAGCTGCTAATAAAGGGAGCAGAAAGCACCTTCCCTGTAGCCTTGGGAAGCCCCTGCCGTCCGCCTTCTGCCTGGTACCCAAATTAGCTTCATCTAATCCATTGCCCTAAGCAAACTGGGCAGTGGATTGACAAAGGAAGTTCACTTCATCTATAGGCTGGATCAAGAAGGGACCTGGAGTCTCCTGACTATCCCAGCTTCCTGGAAACACTCAGCAGGAGTAATGGAATGGAACCCTGCAGCACCCCATGGGAAAAACCACGAAAACACAGTCACTGGTGCAGGATCAACCTCTGGAGCCTTCCTGCATGGAGAAGAACATTGCTATGGTAACACACGCCATCCTTTCGAACCATCCAACCCCCAAACAGCCTGCCAGAGCCAGGCCAACAGAATCAGACATGGCAATAGTTTTAAAAATGTATGGAGAAGCTGGGCATGGTGACACATGCCTGTAGTCTCAGCTACTCAGGATGCTAAGGTGGGAAGATCACTTGAGCCCAGGGGTTTGAGTCTAGCCTGGGCAACACAGCAAGACCCATCTCTAAAACAAAAATAAAAACAAAAAAAAAAAACTACACATTTACGGAGCTACATTCTTGGATATCACCAACTCCCTTAAAACCAGCCTATTTGGGTTCTAAACAAAAAGCTAGATGGCAAGTCGCTGACAAAATCACCAAATGTCTACTTAAATACTGCTGATATTTCAAAATATTACAGCAGTGGTCCTTAGACCAGCAGCATTGGCATCACCAGAGAACTTGTTAGAAATGCACATTTTCAGGTTCCACCTTAAACCTACCAAATCTGATGCTCTGGGGGTTTTAACAGGCACCCCAGATGATTCTGATGCAAGACAGATTTTGAGAATTGCTGATTAGAATGTCTCCATGATTGAAACAGGGAGGTAACTGTAGGAAAACAGGCATTGGCTCATTAAATATAGACATGCTCTGTGCTTCCTGGCCTAATATATTAATATTTTCATTTCCAATGAAGGCCAATTTTCCTAATGGTGAGAACAAAAGAATCTTATTGGGCAACATTAGTATAAACTCAAGACATCTGCCCAGAGACTTAATGTGGATTATGGATAGAAAGAGCAGGAACGCCCCGCATCCTGACATCAGATTTTTAAGTCCTCCCTGGCAAAGTTAATTAATACTTAAGCAGGGCATCCCTTGGCAGGTCCTTTCTGGCTTCCTCGGTTTCCTCAGATGGATCTGAATGCTCAGCACGAGAAGATTGCTAAGTCCCAGGCTGCAGACCTAAGGGGGGACCGGCATGTCTTACCGTGGCATTAGACAGGCTCCTGCCGGGGCGACCTCAGGGAGCTCGTGAATCAGACTGAATCTTGCCTGTCTCCCCATATGAGCCAATTAAATGGATCCCTGCCCTTGATGGTGAAGTGAAGTCCAGTTGCTAATGGATTGCCGTTCTGTCATCTCCATTAGAACTTCGAAGTCACTTGCTGGTATGGATAAGTTACATACTTATCAAGGTGGGATCACAGTTTTAGGCCACCAGGGTGCCATTTAGTGTGCCACCATCACTATATTAGTAGAGTGTGCCTTCCAGCAACGTCGAGGCCATGGTTGAGAGGATGCAGCTAAATAGCGGAGATATTTCTCAACTGGGTTTCTGCTACGGTAGAAGAAGAAACCACAGAGAAAGGCCTTAGGATATGCCTTTTGGAGCATTTCAGATCTCGCTCTTGACAAGGCATAAAAATCAACGAGACTGTTATTGGAGGAGAAAGTCAGCCAGTAGAGCCCACCCCAAAGGAAGCAAATCTTCGGCTACCACTTGTGTGGGAGCCCAGGACTTCAGGAGGCTGACTGCACAGGCAAATGTGAGGATGCTGCTCCATCCCATCCAGGCCATCAAAGTGGCCGAGATCAGAGACAAAAGTTACCCTGCCTATTAATTACTAGCATGCTCTTCCCAACTTTTGCAACCATGCCATTCCTCCTGCCCCCAAACCCAGCTTCAATCAATTCAGTCAGGGCTGGGTGCAATGGCTCACGCCTGTAATCCCAGCACTTTGGGAGACAGAGGTGGGAGGATCCCTTGAGCTCAAGAGTTCAAGACCAGCCTGGGCAATATGGCGACCCCCTCCCCCCACCCTCCGCCGCCAGGAGGACTCTACAAAAAACTACAAAAAACCTATTCGGGTGTGGTGGCATTCAACTGTCGTCCCAGGTACTCAGGAAGCTGAGGTGGGAGGATCACTTGAGCCTGGGGAGGTATAGGCTGCAGTGAGTCACAACCATACCACTAAACTCCAGCCTGGGTGACACAGTGAGACCCCATCTCAAAAAAAAAAAAAAAAAAAAAAAGTCAGCCAGAACCAGAGTTTTGGAAGCTTCTAGGGGGATTCCTGCAAACTCTCATTTCAGCTCCTGGTGGGGCTGAAAAAAGAACCAAGGGGGAGGAGTCAGTCTCCTGCAAAGGGGCCCCAGAGGGAAAGGAAGGAGGTGGAGAGGAAATTAAAAACCACACTAAACTAAGAGAACAAAAAGAGAAGAAAACCAGAATGAAGACCATCACCCAAACACCCAGAATTCCTCTCTTGAGCATCCCCAAGAGAAGCTGTCATAATTTGTAAAGGGCAATCAGGTGATTGAAGAGAGGGTATTGCTTCACTGGGACAAAGGCAGTATTTTAATTTCTCTTGGTTCTGAATACTACCTACTGGGGACTGGAAACTGAAAAAAAATCCTCCAAAATAGGAATTTACCGCAGAATTTTAGGACCCAAAGTTCCATTGAGCTTCGTAGACCTGGATGGGGCACAGGGATGTGACCACACTCTCCCCATAAATAAATAAATACATAAACAAGGCGCTGAGGACTCAATATAGCACCTGCCTCTTCTCCACCCTTGTGCACAATCTCCAACTGTTAGCGCGTAGCCGCCGCTGCCACCACCACCACCGAGTCGCACCTGCCATCTGGAACAGGCCTCACATATTCCAAGACCTCCTTTCTGCTTCGCTGAACCTCCATCTTCTTTCAAATCACGCCGGGGACCAAAACGCACACCCCAGGCCACAGAGAAAGGTGCCTGGGACCAGCCCCTCAAACGACAGCGCTACATTTGAGGATGCCATCTCCTCCAAGCAGCTCTGAGTCTTTTTTCTTTTTCTTTTGGGTTTTGTTAACTCTGGGATGTCTGGAATGGGTGTGGAGGAAGGAATGGGAAGAGAAAGGGGCACAGTGGGCCACAGTGCCCCCAGTTAGAAGGAGAGGGGCTGGGGAAAGGCAGATCCGAATGAAAATGACTTGTGAGGGCTAGAGAGAGGGGCACTGTCCAGCATCCCCGGCCGGCCGGACAGGACAGGGTCTGAGCCTGGCTGCAGGACTCTGGCCTGGCGGGGACAGGGAGGGGGGCCACAGGGGGTGCTCGAGAGGTGAAGTCACAGGCCTAAGGACAACCCAGCCCCCACCCCAGGCAAGGGGCTGTCCTGCCTGGGCCTCAGTTTCCTCCTGTGTGAGGTGACACCATAGGCATAACGCTTTCGCCACCTCATAGGAAGTATGTGGGAACCCAAATGATGCACAAACAGCACCTGCCCTAGAAGACACCCAGTAAAGAGCTCTGTCAGCTACTCTGGAGACCCGCCTCCCAGAGCACCGCAGCCTAGGACAGGGAATCGGGAGTCACCGAGGCGGGTGTCCTAGGCAAAAGGAGGTAGCCCTGAGTCAGCCAGGCCCCGCGGGCGGGTCCCTCTCGGGCCGAGGAGGCGGCCCAGGAGCGCTAACGAGTGGAGAGCCCCAGGTGCGGGCCCCACCCAGGGCCGGGGGAAGAGGTGGGGCTGGA